ACTTCTTTCAGTAAAAGACAATGATGTGGAAGTGTAAGCCAAATAAACCCTTTCCTTTCAATTTGCTTTGCTCACAGTGTGTCATCATAGTGATAGAAACCCTAACTAGGATAGTGCCATTACATAACTGCTCCCTGGCCTTCAGTGTACGTAGCTTGTACCCTGTGGGACATAAGGGCCAACCCCTGGACTGCCCTCTGCCGTTCAGCGGGCTTGGCCTGACTTCAGTCCTGTTTTGCACTTGGTCACCTCTCTTCACTGGTGTTGCCTTCTGGGATGCTGTACTGTTGGGTGAGAGGCTGCAGGGAACAGCTGTGCTGGCTTCTCCACTACCTGCTTGACTGAGGGACTGAGGGGTGTGTTTCCAGTCACCTGCCTTCTCCTTTGAAATGCTGAAGGACCGAGTTACGACAACACAAGTTTGAGACTGAAGTAGACCTCCACAGGGGAAGATGTGGCAAAGATGGCCATCATCAGCATCCTCCTGCCTCAGCATGTCTTCTGGTATAACAGGCTGTTCTACAAGCCCAACTGTCTGTGCTCCCTTGAGGCATAGCAGGCTTCCATCAGAGTCTTTGTCTTGCTTGCTTATTTGTCTATGATAGACTGGCTTCAAACTCCCTGTATAATCAAGGATGACTGTGAACTTCTGCCTCCATTTCCTGCATACAGGTCTGCACCCAACAGACCTGCTCTAAGAGGATTATTTTTAATTTCTGGTGAGATAATTCATCTTTCTGTATGGTCAGGTTAGAGGTTCATTTACTGTTTTGCCTGGGCTATTCTTCCCTCTCCACATTTGTTTTAGGTGCATATGTGCACTTGTGGGGTGGGGAGGGTGTGTGTGTGTGTGTGTACATGTGTGCTCACTTGCATGAATAGCCACCTCTCTGTCTTCATGTAGGGAAATCCTTCACCAACGAGCCTCAGTAGTGATTCTCTGGCCTCACACCCCATTTCTGGAGATGTGTCTTTGCCTGCATGTGTGCACGGAGCTTACACATCAGAGGAGTTGTCATGTTCTCTGTAGGAGCTTGCTCAACTGTGTCTCTGTAGCATAGCAGGTTCTCTGACACTGTAATAAGAAGCTGACTCTTTCTCACCAATCCCTCAGGATTCAGAACATGCCAGGTGAGACAGAAAGCAGCTCCCTGGACAGTCACCCAAAGCTGGAATGCTGGTTATGTTTCCCACTCTTCTTCCCAGCCACCCCTGCGCCCATAGGCTGAGTCCTAGGGGTGAGTCATTGCCATTCCCAGCAAGTGGATGCCATCAAGTAGAATTTCCAGGGAGGGGAGTTAGAGCTCTTTTCATTTATGTGTGTTTGTTTTTGACTGTGGTATACTGCTCAGCTCCTGAGAGATCCATGGAATGTGTATGCTGAGGACTCTAGGGGTGAGCAGAAGGCTCTGAGTCCTTGAGTTTAATGCTACAGAAAGTGATCAACACAGCCAAGGCCAAAGGTTGGGCTCAGGTATGATGGGATTGTGACATGGGACATTTCCCCAGTGTGACCACTAGGCGGTGCTCAGGGATTGTTTTTTTCTCATAGCCAGTAGCCCCAGGAGTGGTACCGAGATAGGTGGGATGTCAGAAAGGTTCAGGTTCTTATATTTCAAATACCTTCGTTAAAATCATTTATAAAGTCCTCCATTCCAGAGACAATTCACATGGGGGAAAATTTGGGGTAAAGGGGAAGCAACATAAAGATGGCAGATCTGTCCTTCAGTGCTTTTGCTGGGGCACCACACACACACACACACACACACACACACACACACACACAACTCAATCACATGATTACCTTGGCACTGGGCTGAGAGGGAAGCAGCAGACAGACTCAAGGTCAGAGAGCAGGCTGTGTGTACTATGATGGGGGAGGAGGGTAAGGCACTAGAAGAGTGTGTGTAGCTTGTTCCCTAGCAAAGGAACACACAGCCTGATTGCAAGTCTTGTACTTTGAGACACTAATGTCTGTCAGAGTGGCTGGTTATACTATCCATCACTATCCCTTACATCAAAAAACAGTGTTATCCAGGGGTGGGCCTAGGCCCTATCCCGAAGGACACGATAGACTCTGATGACACCCTATGGAAGGCCTCACCCTCCAGGGGGAGCAGAAAGGATATGTGATAGGTAAGGTTTTTAGTTGCGGGAGGGGGTTGTAGGGGAGGAGGGAAGGGAGAGGCAACTGGGATTGACATGTAAAACAATCTTGTTTCTAATTCAAATTTTTTAAAAAAAGATTAAAAAATAAAATAAAATAAATAAATCAAGAAAATAAGTGAAAAAAATAAAAAAAAGAAAGTGTTATCACTATCAATAATACATGGGAATATGGAGAGAAATGTTTTACACTATCCATCACTTTCCCCCACATCAAAAAACAGTGTCACCATTATCAATAAAACATGGGAGTGGGGGGGAAATGAGTTACACTATCCATCACTTTCCCCAATATCAGAAACAGTGTCACCATTATCAATAATACACAGGAATGTGGGTGGGTATTTACATACATGCACAAATATTGATGTAGTATTAATGAAGGTTAATTTTGGCCATCCATGGGATTCAAATTACTTTTATTGTCAAAATATTTTGGCAGCCATGCATGGTGATACCTACCTGTAATCCATCCCCAAACTTGAGAGGTAGAAACAGGGGGGTCGGTGCAAATCTAGGCCTAGCTGAGCTGTCCAGGGAGTATGAGGCTGTCTAGGGCTCTATAGTGAGTTCTTGCCTCAATTCCTTCTCTTCCAGGTTTTCCTGCCTCTGAATTTATCTCCCCTGTGTGTTGGATTTATAAAAGAAAATTTATTTCAGCAATACTTTGCTTCTGCAGTGTAGAGAAGGCCCACATCCCAGCCAGGAGTACAGGCTCTCCTCTGGCCCCTGTAAGTCCTGAACATCCACTTAAAGTCTGCTTTCACCTGGATACACTCTAGAACTGTGGGTAGACCCTGAACTGGACACCTAACCCCTGCCTGTAAAACAAATTTGGTGCCCTCAGCCTGTATTCTCTGTCATCAAGTCCTGCCACTGAGCACCCCTTCCTGACCTCACCTTGTATGCTAGGATGACAGAAAGCGACAGAAGATATTTGGACCCCACCTCAAATCTGTGCTTCTTCTGATTCTTTTTTATTTATTTAATTTAGAAACAATCTTGCTTTACATGTCAATCTCAGTTTCCTCTCCCTCCCCTCCTCTCCTGCAGACTATCCCATCCCCCTCCACTCGCCAAGGAGGGTGGGGCCATCCATGGGGAATCTTTAAAGTCTGTCACATCATTTGGAGCAGGGCCTAGGCCCTCCCCCATGTGTCTAGACTGAGAGAGTATCCCTCTATGTGGAATGGGCTCCCAAAATCTCTTTGTACACTAGGGATAAATACTGATCCATTACCAGAGGCTCCATAGACTTCCCAGGCCTCCTAACTGACACCCACGTTCAGGGGGCCTGGTTCGGTCCTATGCTGGTTTCCCAGCTGTCAGACTGGAGTCCATGAGCTCCCCCTTGTTCAGGTCAGCTGTTTCTGTGAGTTTCTCCAGCCTGGTCTTGACCCCTTTGCTCATCACTCCTCCCTCTCTGCAACTGGATTCCAGGAGTTCAGCTCAGTGTTTAGCTGTGGGTGTCTGCTTCTGCTTCCATCAACTTCTGGATGAAGGCTCTAGGATGGCATGTAAGGTAGTCATCAATCTCATTATCGGGGAAAGGTGTTTAAGGTAGTCTCTCCACTATTGCTTAGATTGTTAGTTGGGGTCATCCTTGTAGATCTCTGGATGCTTCTTCTAATTCTATGCATCTGAGTCCATCCACTGGAGGTGTCCCTGAATTTGCCTGCCTCCACCACCCCTACCCTCTGGACTCTGCACTACTTTCTCTTTGCTGAGCCGTTGGTTATGAGAAGGGCTATGTGAATGGCTTTACCCACCCATGAAGCACAAACCTTTAAGGATCAGCTCCTCCCAGGTTGAGTGACAGCTGACAGGGTCAGTTATGAGCTGCCATGAACCCTCTTTTATTGCACTCCAAGTTTCCCAATCCAAGGAACACCCCAGAAAAAAAAATGCATCCCCGGGAGCTACTCAGGCAACTAAAGATGCTCCTGACACACACATGTGAATGCAATTCTATACATGTACATAGCAGCTAGGTACAAACACCAAGCCCATGACCACACAGAGACATATACATACATGCACGTGCACATACGTGAGAAGACATGGGCTCACATGCAATGTTCATTTGTATGGAAAAGCAGAGTTGTATATCCAATTCACCAATTCTAGGGACTTTTATTTAGCACTTTCTAAAGGCCATGTTTGGTTGTCAGGCTCTAGGGAAGGATAAGGCCATTCACAGAACCCTCCATATAACTAATTGCTCTGCAAAGGGGATGTAGGCAGAATCCAGAGGGTGGGAGTTGAGCAGGCAGGCAAATTCAGAGACGCCTCCAGTGGACTCAGTATTTTCTGGTTTTTAGCACATAATTACAGGTAGAAGAGCATCTGCCTTCCTGCTCTTCTTTATAATTTACCTGACTCCTCGGGAGAAGCCACGAATGAAGCTCATGAGAGAGCCAGTCTTCAGCCTCACAAGCTGCCTGACTGATTTCACTTTCCTGTCCTATGGCTAGGGTCCCCTGTAGTTTCTGGGGTGATGGTCCAGAGATTTCCTAGACCAAGTTTCCCAGGGGATGTGACTGGGGGAGTTTGACCTTCTATCTGGTATCTGATGTGAAAAGTCTTAGTCACATCCTTGACTTACAGATAATTCTCAGGAACAGCAGAAGAAAAGTCACCCATTAACAAGGTAATCCCTTGGGGTAGTTTCAATAATGTAAAGCATGATTTTTTAAATTTTTTATTTTTAATTACTCATATTTACATATCCATCCCCCCATTCCCTCGCCCTCCTCTCCTCCCATGTTCCCCACGCAACCCACCCCCAACTCCTCTCCAGGGATAGTGAGGCCCCCTACCAAGGACCTTCAAAGTCTATCATATTGTTTGGGGGAGGGTCTAGCCCCTCCTTGCTGTATCTGAGCTGCAATAGTATCCCTCCATAGGGAATGGGCTCCCAAAGTCCATTTGTGCTCTAAAGTGTGATTTTTATTGAAATGTTGTTTTGTCCAAACACCTGAATACCCCAAATGCCAGAGCTGGGTAGGACCTAAAGTGTTTCCAGTGAAAGGGATTAAAGATTAGAGGATGGACCCTTCAGGTGGCTCAGGTGCTATAAGGATATTGATGTGGTCCCCTGGACAAGTATAGCACTGCTGCCATGAGAGGGAGGCTAGAGGAAGCTCACGACACCCATTGGTCTTGCCGAGGAGCTGTCACTCAGTCTGTTTTATGACAGCCTTGTCTCCCCTCAGCCCATAGCCTGAAGCCTCAAGCTGAGCTGACACCAGAACCCAGAACAGGAAGTCCTTGGAATCTGACTGTTGTTACCATGGTACCCACAACTACCCCAGGAAGCCAAAGGCAGGCTCCCCCAGCAAAGCGTCTCGGCCCATAGGAAAAGCGGGTGAGCCCCAGGTGTCATGAGAGCTTTCAAGATTCAGGCTCAGAAGGCGCCCAGACTCCAGCTTTCCTGTAATTCAGAGTTGAGTGCAACGATTGTTCCTCTGCTCTTCATGCAACCTCTGTGATCATCTCCCAGTGGGCAACAGGACTTCAGAACTGTAAGTGGGACTGGTACCTCACCCACAGCAGAGACCAAAGGCTCGCCTGGTGATAGGAGCTACTTGCATGTAGCTCCAGGAGAGCAGGGAGGCAAGTAAGAGGTTCCTGGCTGGGAGCTGAACAGACAGCTTCCTCACCAGAGGACATAGAAAGCCACAGCCAAAGTCCATAAAGCACATATCTTCCAGTGAGACATAAAAGACATAACAATACATTTTAGTGCCATTGAAATGCCCTGGGGTTCAAGGCCATCTAGTAAGACAATGAGTAAAAGAAACCGAAGTTGGGCTGTAGCCTCTAAACTGAAATGAGCCTTCTGTATGGAGGGTCCTGGCAGGGCCATTTCTTCATGTCCTACCAGCTCTGCATGAAGTCCACATGAAGTCCCCTCCTCTCTCCTTAGATGTCCCTGGGCCACACTGAAGACTCAGAGTTCTTATCTAGAACAGTGGAAAGTAGACAAAGGTTTTAGGCTAGGGAGCTGGAGGTCATTCTGACTTCTTTGTGAAAAAAAAAAAAACCATGTGTGGGCATGGGTGTGTGTGTGTGTGTGTGTGTGTGTGCATAGCACGAGCGCGCACACACACACACACATTGCTGAGGATTCAGTCTAGGGCTATGCACTCGAAGCTCTACTATTCAGACCTATTCCCACCTGGGTTGCTTTGATATATAAGTTTTTAAATGAGTATCAGCCTGTGAGTGTCCTCCTCCCATCAGCATCTTCCAGGCAAAACCAACAGAAGAATGAATGCTGCCAGTCCTCTTCCATGGCCCTTAAGTTCAAAGTAATCATAAATCTGCTGGGCTCCAGTACAGCCCTGGCTCTACCTGTTGTTGGGGGCTAGTTGGTAAAGTCCCCCTTTGTCTCCTGATCCATGTTCACCCGATACATGCCACCTTGCTTGCAGCCATCCATTGATCTTCATCCTCTTGACAACGTGAGAAGTCATATCTCTGCTGCCCCATCTGAGATGTTTTTCCAACATAATAGCATAGATTCATCCACAGATATGCCATTTAGAACTCAATCCTAGCACTTGGGAGACAGAGGCAGGAGGATCTCAGTGAGTTTAAGGCCAACCTGGTCTACAGAGCAAGTTACAGGACAGTCAAGACTATCCCACAGAGAAACCTGTCTCAAATCAAACAAACAAACCAAGAGAACCTAGGCCTGGGGATGTAGCTCCAGGCTAGGGCTCTTGTGTACTATGAGGCCTCACATTCAAACTAGCAACAGAAAACCTAGATACCATCTTGCTTTGATATATGACCCACATTAAGGCTTTCTCATTATTCCTTTTATGGTAAAATAGAGATTCTTTAGATGTCTCCTCTACAATATTCTGATGAGATGCTTCATGGGTGTGTTAAAATGTTCAGCTTTAGCTCTTTTGTCTTCCAGATACTCATCTGTTTCCTTCCGTGTCAGCTCCACCACCATTCATCAAAATGCTGACTCAGGTAAGTAGGTCCTTTCACCAAAAGGTGGGTAATGGCAGAGCTGAGAAGATGGTTGTTCATGCAAAAACTACAATTCTCACCTCAAAGGGGATAGCAGATAGTTTATTCTGGAGACAAATATAAATGATCTCTACTCAGGAACACAGATTTAGGTTACTCTAAAGTCCATTTTCTAACATAGTAACAGCTTCATGACATTTTATATTAATAGAACACAGAAAGTTATAAATCAATACATTGTCAATTATAAGCCAATACACTGTCAAGTATGTTGCCATTAGGTAGATAGGTCACACCCATGTGGGGAAATCTCTGCTATGGGTGTGTGTGTGTTAACTGATGACATTTTGAGATTTTAGGCTGTTAATACATTGCAAATGTTTCACCTGATAGTCACAAGGATGTGTCAGACACAGAAGGAATGACTAGTAAGGGGACTGAAGATAGCCCAAGATAAATGGTTGGACCTACAGCATTCCAACCTCTCCAGTCATTGAAGTCAGCATCAATGAATCAACCTTATAGAAATTTCAATGTAAGGCATAGTTTCTTTCTAGGGAAACAATTAGTGCTTGCCATGCGAAACTGATGACTTGAGTTTGATCCCTCAGCAGCCATAAAAACCCAAGTGTAGGTGGAGCACTCTCATTGCTAGGGGTGGAAAAAAACAGGAGAATCCTGGGGCTTGCTAGACAGTTGTTCTTGCTGAATTGATGAGCTTGGGTTCAGCGAGAGACCCCAATTCGAAAACTAAAGCAAATAAAAAAAAATCCAGTGTCAGCCTCTGACTATGCACACACATTCATGCTCAGAGGCATTCACACATGTGCATTGATGTGTATACACACCCACACACACACAAGGCATGCGAAGGCAAGCAGCACAGGGTTATTACAGTGGGATTTCCATGTGTCCCTAAGGGCCAGGGCCTGAACCACTGAGGGCCCCAAGCTTAACTGGCTGACTACAAGGATGAGTGAGTCCAGGCAGCATTATCCAGAAACCAGAGAGCAGCCCCACTGCTGAGCTGACCCTTGCTGGTGCCTCACTACAGCAGGACCACAACTGAACCCAATCCACAGCTTACAGTCACCTAGCTAGGCAATGCACTAAGACACATTTCCCGAACCGTTTCGTTTTATCCTCTTAATAACTCTAAAACTTGTCACCATTATTGTCACCACCACCACCACCAATACCAATATCATACCATCATCACCAGCGCCAGCACCGCCCCACCAACATTACTGCAATCGATATCACAGTGACCACCAAAATCACCACTACCATCATCATCACTTGCATTGCCACCATTGTCATCAGTATTAGCATGCCATTTTAATCATCACTACCACTATCACTTTCACCACCATAGCTACCATCAGTACCATCACCATCATCACCATAGTGACTATCACGTCATCACCATAGTCAATACCACCATCATCACCACTACACATACTCCTACTACTATTGCCATCATTGTCACAATTGTCACCACAATCATCATCATCATCTTTGCTACCATCCCATTTAAGCTAATCCCCAATTTAAATGCCATCTGAGGGACTCAAAGGGTTAAGTAACTCGCCCAAAGTTGTCCATCAGTAAGTGGCAATAATAGGAACTAGACTCAGATCCCGCATCCCATATCTCCACTAGTCTCTTGGTGCCTGGATGGCTTAAGGATTGATGGCTTCCATTCCCGTGGATCCCTCGTGGTGAGTTTTTCCTTCTATGTGTCTTTGAGTCATCAGTCTGAGAGTTAGATTCCTGGTGTTCTCTTCCAATAAGGAAACTGTATGAATGTTCCTAGCAGTATGATGCATAACAGCGAGAGACAGGAACAACTCAGGGGTCATCAACTGGTGAAAGGATGAACAAATTGTGGTATAGTCACTCAATGCAATGTCCTTCAGCCTTGAAAAAGAAGGAAGTACTGATACCTGGATGAACCTTGGAAGCATGGCAACTGAAAGGAGCCAGACACAAAGAGCCAGACATTGTGAGATCCTACACTTACAATATCCAGAATGAGCAAAGCTACAGACAAAAAGCAGTTTAGTGGTCACCAGTGGTGGGGAAGAGGGTGATGGATAGAGAGCCTGGGGGATACAGAGTCCTTTGGTGGGTGATGAAGATGTTCTAGAGCTCGACAGAGGTGATGGTTGCGTAAGATTGATCTGTACACTACAAATGAATAAGATGGTTAATTTTGTGTTGTGTGTTTTACCAAAAAGAAAACTCATTGTCCATAGTATCTCTCTGACTGATGGTAGGTTAAGTGCTCAAAGAACAGTACTTGAAGCACAATACTGATGGGGAATGTACTGTATATGTTTATCTTATTGATTGTTAAATAAAATACTGTTTGGCCAATGAGACAGGAAATTAGACAGGACTAGAAATCAAAGAGGATTCTGGGAAATGTAGTAGAGAAGTGCTGATCCAGGCAGGAAGTGACATAGCAAGGAGACTCATATTTAAGCGAAGGACCCCTCCGGGACCCCTCCGCTCCTGCTCCAGCGGCACAGTGTGATCCACCGGCAAGGAGGGACGCCAATAAGGTGTCCAATAAGATAAGTCTTATAAAATGTTTAGATTTATGGTAGTTAAGACTGAGCTAGCAGGTGAGAAGTCCTAGTCATTGGCCAAGCAGCATTGTACCTAATACAAGTTTCTGTGTATTCATTTGGGCCTAACTCGGGCAGGCAGCTGGCAGAGACCTCCCGCGTGGCGGTAGGGCTCAGGCGGCTTTTGGTGGAAAGATTTATCGTAACATAATACTATGCCTACTTGTAGATTCTTAGCTACCTACAAAAAACAACTTGCCTTTTTGTCTTCTCCCAGACCCCAAATTCCAAAATACTTCATAGTTTGAATCACAGAACACATCACCCTTATATTGAGAAGATGCCCCGTGACGGATACTTGCCAGGTTGGAGAGTTCTCTGGCAGTTTATAGTCTGCATTGGTTTTCTCTGTGCTGTACAGACTGGGAAAGCTGTCATTTGGGTGAAGTTAAAGGCCTTTCTCTCTTTGATCAAGCAGAGCAAGAATCGGCTAGAGCGCCGGATTGTTGGTGCAACCAACCGGTGGCGTTTTCCCCAACAGTATTTCTGTGGGGACCTGCTGGGACTCTCCCAGATGTGCAATGTTTTGAACGTAGAACTTGATGAAGCTCTGAAGGACCCAGACAGGTAGGATGGGTCAAAGGCCCATGGTAAGGGATGGCAGCCCAGGAAGGGAGGGGAGGTATTTGATGACTAGACCATGGTGGTTAGATAGTTCAGGCATGTCTATAAGGAGCTTCACTAGAAGATCACACACAGGTATGGTCAGGGTCTAAAGTGTCTTCTTGCTCTGACAAGGTCTGCTAGTGGTGACTAAAGAGCAGCTTTTTTGGGGTCCCCCATCAGATTCTAACTTCATCATTCAGGGACCAAATGACCTCTTAAAAAGCGCCATGGCTAAGTGTTTTGATGTGAATTCTCATGAATTCCCATTTCTACCCAGTCTACCCAGGCTACTGTCCCCTCCCCTCTCTTAGTAGTCTTAGCATCTGGCTAGACCATCACTTCTCCAGATTGTAAGCTCTACCTGTCGGGAGGACACAGCAATGCACCTAATTACAGAAGGCTCCTTCACTTCCAGGTGCTTTTGCCCTGGCTTGATGGCACTAATCTGAACCAGTTCTGTCTCATGTGTTCATGGTTAAGTCCACCTAAGCAAAGGCTGCTCCCTGGGGCAGTATCTGGCACGGAAGATCTTCTGGTTCCATGTTTGCTGAGTGACTGGTCCAATATGACCTTTACCCTGTGGCTAAACCTCACTGAGCCTCACTTTCCTCATCTGTGAAGTGGTGATGATGGAAACTCCCTTGAAAACTAAATGGATGAATAAATCTGGTGCATTTCATCAGGCTGTGTATTAGAAATGCTTGGTATTATTCTTACAAACAGTAGACTCTGAATAAATTGAATGATTATCTTGGTGAAGTCTGCCACGGTGTAGGGAAAACAAATTTTGTTTCACAAACATGGGATTGCAACTCTATCTTTGTAGTGGGAATTGATCCCTGGGACTGTGAGAAACTCTTGGAAAGCACCTTAAAGGTTCTATTTTTTTCCTGTTTACTTTTTTAAAAATATTGATAGACAACATTTAATTTAGGTAATAAAGGAAGTATCCCTAGTAATGTGCACTTTAGATACCAGGAGACTTTCTGATGTCACACTCCAAGGCCAGTGTGTATGTGTAAGTGTCTGGAATTGTACTGTATAGCATACACATGTCTCCCAAAGCACACACTGCTCCCCAACCCTACCTGATCAGTAAAGTCCTGGGCCTGTCTCTTGTGTTGTTATTGTGGCTTTTTTATGGAGTCATTGTCAACTTTGACAGGAGCCAGATCAAACTGTAGTAAACATATGGCACCAAGGGTCACTCAGCTTCTGTTTATTTTGGGTCTGTGGCTATGCCTTGGACAGGTCAGTGCTCTGGGTGCCATCCAGCTGGCAAGTTCTACTTGTTGTGTCTGTGGGTTTCCAGGGTGTGGGGGACTCTGAGGCTCAC